GACCTCAAGCAGTGGTTCCCAATCCTGATCCTGAAAGACATCCACTGACACATAAGGATTTGTTAAAGAGCTGAGTAGTTTGTTCTATCAGAGCATGTAAACATAAAAATATGCCAGACAGGGGCACTCTATTGGCCTTAAGTAAAAGTAACTAAGTTGAGCAATTCTTCCGCAGGTGTGGGGGTCCTGGCCATGGCCCTTATCGGAATCTTCCTGGACAACATTGATGGACAGGCAGCCCAGGAGTTTCGGAAGAACAAAGGAAATGAGTCCTTCTGCACCACTTTTCTGGCCACATTCAGGCGCTTGAAAGATAAAAGGCAGCTAATACTCATTCCTTTGACTATGTACAGTGGGTTTGAGCAAAGCTTTCTTGCTGGCGAATACACTAAGGTAAGTAGATTCATTTGTGTTCATGAAATACATATGAGACAAACCTATTGCACTGAAAAAAATGAACAGAGGTTAATCTGATCTTTTTACTGTGACATGACTAAACCTTGCTTCTATGTGAATGACAAAATATTTTTTGCGTGACAGCTTTACACATTTTTCCCTTGAATGTTATTGTGTCCTCTGAATTATAGGATCATCAAGTAGTCAAAATATGAATATGGCTACCTACATGCCACGTGCAGACTAACGCTCCTGCACAATGATTTGACATAAGCATGCCAGCCTCACCAAAATAGCTCACACAAACCAGCCAGCTTTGAGCGCTATGTGGGTTTGTCAGCAGTACAATCTGTATAGCTGGCATTGTTATATAACACTGTTGCAGTAGAGCAGCAGCCTTATTTTCCTGCACTGTCAATGAAACATACATATTAGCTTGCTTATAGCATATGCAATAATATGTAGCATTATTCATATTTCAACTATTTAACAACAGTTGGAATCAGGGCTGGATTGGGAACTAAATTTAGCCCTGAACCTTTGTCTAGGCCAGCCCACTACAATCACAGTGACCATCCCACCACCACGGCCCCTTAGCCCTCACCCTCTGCAACTAAACCTCTTATCATAGTTACAATGAGTGGACACATATTTTTTAAAAAAATAAACAGGGTTTATCTCTTTAAAATACACGAGTGTGAACATGTAAAAGACACTGTAGCTTGGCTGAGAACTGCAGTGACTGCTATGTTAGCTAGCTAATTAATTAGCCAGTGTGTGATAGCGCAGTAACATTAAGCTAGCAATCTGTAGCCTTGGTGCATTTTGCTCGTGCATCCAAACAAATTGCGTAAATTCTTTCATGTAATTTCTTCATTCTTTGCGTACTGTCATGCACCTTCACACTTTTTGGAGGTTTCAACCGTTTAGCCAGCCCTCACATTCTCCATTCATTTTATATAGGACTACATTACAAGCGACCATACATTTCTCTCTTTCTCACTCTCTCAGCAGCCCCCACACAAGGTGGCCTACCGGGAATTGTCCCGGTCCTCCCGATGACCAGTTCCCTGCTTAGAATTTAGATCCAGTGACATTCAGGGAGAAAATTTACAAAGGACAAAAACATTTTTCTTTATTTTGGATGAAATAATTTTCAAAAAACAACATCATTTTTTTTTTCCTATAGAGAAAACAGGCTTAGACACAGAGCTCCTTATATTGGCATATAAAACGACATACAACCTCAGAGGTCTATTTAGCTTTACACTGAGTTTATCTATGTGACATTTAACACCCCAAATTTGTGAGGCTTGGAAGAATAGGCCAATAGAAAATCAAAGAGTAGGACATGGTCAGAGCCAGCTTAATGTGTTTTTTTCTTTCTGAAAAAAAAAAATGAAATAGAGGAACTGCTCCTCCGTCAACATTATGTTGCTTATTGCTCACAAAACCAGCTATCTAGCTAATGTTAGCTGTTCACTGAACTATAAATGACCCTCCCTGGTGGAAAAATTGGCAAGATAATAATGCAGTATGACAGCAGCTTTAGAGTTGGTAAAGCCTACAAGCTACCTACAACTATGAACAGGAAAAATGTACAAATGTAGAAAAAAAAATAGTAAAACCATAAAACACTGTAGATAAAACACGCAGGCAAGTCCAGACTTCTATTCCTCTCTCCTGTAACTTAAAAATGGCATTATTTTCTGTGGGGTTATAGAATAAAAAGCCTTAGGATGCAATAATCCTGGGAAAAGAACTAATAAGTCCAGATAACGTTAACCTCTAATTAACATCGAAAGGAGAGAGGTGACACAGTCTGGCATTATGGCCTAAACATATCAAGACATGGTACCTTATTCTTATGTGGATGTATGTTTACTCTGAAATACAATGATGTTCTAAACTGGTCTTCAGGGATTTCAGTGCTGGAAGAGGAACGAGTTATCATAATCAATATCAAAAGTTACCATAATCAAGTGCTGATACAAAAGGCAATAAAACACTTATGATGTAAGTGTTTGGAAATCCCTTCAATAACTATAATGTTAGCATGTAATCAAACAAACTTATAATACAGCATTTTCAGTACTGGCAACATTAAATAGACTGTGTTCAATGCATTTTCAAAACCTGGAGAATTTAGAAAACTTGAAGTGTTTCTTTCCATCTTCCCCTGCAGAACTATGTGACCTGTGCATTAGGAATCCATTTTGTTGGTTTCGTGATGATCTGCTTCGGTGCTGTGAACTCCTTGAGCTCCTACATCTTCGGGAGGCTGGCTCAATACACAGGGAGAATTGCCCTCTTTTGTCTGGGTAAGACCATCTGATTGGGCATAGTAACTATAAATGAGGTTTTATGTGGAGTATCTGCCGATCCATCATTTTGCTGTGTTCCATTTCTTAAAAGACTGTTATAATTGCTGAAATACAGAAGAAAAAAAATGACCAAATTCACCTGTTTTTCAAATTAAACCATATACAGTCCATATATGGAAGTCCATTTGAATTGCGAATCATTCTCTTTTGAATTCACTGAACTCATTTACATATGACTACCCATTCAGCCTACAGCAGTTTTGTCCTGTCTGTTACTGCTATTGTTATAAGGAGAGTTTCAGCCTGGATTACTTTTAAATGAGGCACAATAAAGAGTAGCCAAACAGAAGAGAGATGATTTACATATGCAGTCATCTACAAAAAAATTGATCAAATTATGTTTTGTTAATTTTCTAGTAAAAATAATGTTAACACATTGTAACAAACTTAAAAATAGCATTTTTTCTGCAGATTTTATTGCACATTTTCTATTCTTTTCCTTTCTTTTTCTTTGCTTAGTTTAACTGAAAAATCCAGCAAATTATGTACAGAATGTACAATAATGTACAGACGTTTTTTCTCTATAAAGGATGCATTAACTTATTTTCACTTAGAAAATGAACAACATAGTTTGATCATGGGTGTCAAAACCTTTGCATACAACTGCCTTAAGGAGTTTAAAGGCACAGCAACAAATACAGCCTGGGTAACCCACTAGAGCTGCCACCTGTCCAGGATTTTCCTGGAATGTTCAAGTTTTTGGTTGCCTTTCCAGGAAAAAATATTTCCAGGGATCCAGAATGGGTCAAATTATCCTCAATGCAGGGACATTTCTTTGGTAAACATGAACTGCTGATATGTTTAGGCACTAAGCAGCCCTTCAACTGAAAAGATCAGGTTCTGTAGCTGAACTGACATCTGTCTGTCCGCTGACTATAGTAAAACGCAAGCTACTGACCAAGCGTCCAGGAATTTTATAGGGCTAAGGTGGCAACTCTAGAACCCACACAAATGCCATTAGTGAAAAAAGGAAGGATATGGGCTCCTTGACACACTTTACCCAATTTGACGTCACCTGGCTAAGGTGTGTTTCGAACTGGTACAGAATTACAATGTGGACTGACTGTGAATCCCAACAACTGGACTTGAGTTTTTTTCAACCCAATTCCACACGTTGCAGTTCACGGTCAGGACAGAACTACACAGACAGGCCTACCTTTAGGAAGCACAGGTGGTGGTCACAGCTGTAAATGATGTTCATTTAAAAATTTCACCACCTCTTCTCCTCCTCACAGCTGCCGTAATAAACCTGAGCAGTGTGCTTGCCTTGCTGTTCTGGAGGCCTCACCCAGACCAGCTCCCTGTCTTCTTTGTGTTCCCTGCTCTCTGGGGCGTGGCAGATGCTGTATGGCAGACACAAACCAACGGTAAGTCTCTGAACCACCAACATATTTTATCCTTTTCTGAGAAGTCAGTGATGAACTCATTGTTTTTGCATTTCCCCGTGCAGCACTCTACGGCACTCTCTTCTCTAACCACAAGGAGGCAGCATTCGCCAACTATCGTATGTGGGAGTCTCTGGGCTTTGTGATCGCTTTTGCATACAGCACATTCATCTGCCTGTCCACCAAACTCTACATTCTAATAGCAGTTCTGGTACTGAGCATGGTGACTTACCTCTGGGTGGAGTACAATGAGTACAAACATCCCACTGCACCAGTGAAAGTCATCGCCAACGTCGCAGAGAAGCAGAGCTTCAAAGACACGCCTGAGAGTGCGAACATTATTGCTCAGACAAATCTGTAGGCCATAAAGCTTAAACAGGCCTCTGTCGACCAGAGACTGCTGGGTTTTTGCAAACATAAGAATGCCTTAATGTTCAGAAGTCTTAGATTTAATTTTTTTTATAACAAACCTGATTTTTTCTAGATATTTTTCTACTTGTGGCCTCCCTTTACCTCATTTTGTAAAGAAATGTGTATGTAATGCAAAGCATGAAGTGTTTATATTGCTATTTGTGAAGCATGATATATTACCTTTTTTGTATTTTGATTAAAAAATGATCTAAATGAATTAAATGCTCACTTTGTCAGCCTCATAGCAAAGGCCGCTGGTGTGTGATCTGTATTGCTCAATATGTAAATGTACAGAGCCCTGCTGGTGACACCCTGTATAAATAAAAATAATGCGTGGCAACAACTTAGTAAAGTCAGGAAATGAGATAATTAAGTCGTGGTCATGACTTAGTAAGGTGTGGGAACAAGATCCTGTGTTGTGAATGTGTTGCCACTACTTAGTATGGCATGGGAATGAGATAATAAAGCCTTGGCCACAGCTTAATAAGGCATTATCTCATTCCCACGCCTTACTAAGTCGTGGCCACGACTTAATTATCTACGCGTTAACATGGCATGGCCTGCGTTATTCTTATTTATACGGGATGCACATCACCAGCAGGGCTCCGTATAGTTAATTAGAGTTAAATGATCTATTTAAAAATTTCAATTTTAACAAATCCCTGATTAGGGCTTGCTTTTGGATCGGCCTATGTGTCAATATTAATATTAACAATTATCAAAAGTGCCGGAGTTTAAAGAGAGTTTTCTCTTTAACTTTTTTTACTGTGTTGTTTAGGCTTGAAAATTAGCATCTTATTGTTGATTTGTTTCATTAAAGCAGTATTTACAGTGATATATTTATATGTAAAAGTCCTTTTATATCTTCCAAACAAATAAACAAGGTTATTCTAGTAAGAAAATAACACAAGCAAAGGAGAAAAAATTAAGTGACAACAAAAATACATTATTAGCAGTGGCTAAAAGGTTTTTTGGCGCCAAACTCCCAAGGCCCCGCCCCCAGCAGTACCTCCTGCGCTGGGATTGGCTAGCGAGGTCTCGGCTCCTGCGCTGGGATTGGTTGGCAGCGTCCAGTCTCCGTCGGGGGGGGGGGTTGTGAATGTGCGCTGACGGAATAAGGAGGGGAAACAATAAAAAACGCCGCCTGGCTTTAAAACTGAAAGGTAATGCCGTTACTATAGCAACGAAAAACGCCTCCGCTGTTGAAAATGACCTGCACTAGCACGCGATGCGTATCCTGGCAACGATAGATGACCACAGAGGATGATAGAGAAGGAGAAACCCGTCAGACCTGAACTGCTCAGGTGAACAGCTTCACGTTAGCAGCGCTGCTGTAGGAGGTGAGCGAGTCCTGCAGTGAACAGTCCAGAATGAAGTCTTACCTCTGACAGGTGTGTGAAATAACTGTATTTAAAGGACGGACTGCGATTATCAAACATCTTGACGCATTTCGACGTTTGATTTCTATTGCTTACATTATTAATTTTCTTTGTATTTGTCATTAATACGTAGTTTGCACATAGGTATAAATGCAAATATATATGCAGATATAAAAATGCACAACAAATCCTTTTTAACAAGATTTTTAAAATTTGTAATTTTAAAAAATCTTATTTGTTGTTCATATGTCAAAATATGGACCTAGTGTCTCTAAACAACGACTTATTTTCTCTAAATATTGACTTAATATTTCGCAGTGATGACTTCATTTTTTCTAAATATTGAGCTAATATATTAAATATTGAATTACATATATTTTCTCAAAATCTTAATATACTGTGTTAAAATAATGAATTATTACATTTTAAAATGAATTATTTTAAGATAAGATAATAAGTCATTATTACCTAATACTAAAGCATTATTTTGACACAGTAAGTAAATATTTTGAGAACACCATTTATATAATACTGCTGAAATGATGTTGGTTTGGATCTTGGCCTAACTCATGAATCCAATGAAGTATTTTTAGGGCATTTTAAAGAATAGAGAATGGGTGAATTGGAAACTTCAGAACAATTCAGTTTATTGCTACATATAAATGCAACCTTGTAAGGTAGAAGGCAGTATTTATTCAAGCATATTTTTCTTCTTTTCATTAAGGCTGTTTGTTGAACTAGTTTTTAAAATGATGAATGTTCTTTCCTTCTTGTCTGGTCGCTTTGCCATTCAAAGCATGGGGCGTTTCCTCGATGGCTGCCAACAGTTCTGTGCCCCTGGTGTTTCGGCTCCATGAAAACACTCCGGAGGTGGTGCGGGAGGTGCTGCTGGAGCGTGGCTGGGAAGAGTATGACCCACAAGAGCAGGAGGAAGGGGACTGGAACCTCTACTGGCGTACCTCAGCCTTCCGCAACTTTGAGTATGAGAACATTTTACCCTGGCAGAGGCTGAACCATCACCCTAAAACGGCGAGAATTGCACGCAAGGACTGCCTGGCACGCAACCTGAGAAGAATGAGGGGCACGTATGGCGCTGCCTTGTATGGCTTCAGCCCCACGGCCTTCATCCTCCCGAATGACTACACCAGGTTCCTGGAAGTGTATACCAAGACTCGTGTGGAAAATGCTAGAAAGCCGGGATACTGGATCTGTAAACCGGTGGATCTCTCCCGAGGAAGAGGAATCTTTATCTTTGATGACATCAAGCACCTGGCTTACAATTCCCCTGTTATTGTACAGAAATATATCAGCAACCCTCTTCTAATCTCAGGCTACAAGTTTGACTTGCGGATCTACGTCTGTGTGAAAAGCTTCAGTCCTCTTACCATCTACATGCACCAGGAGGGCTTGGTGCGTTTCGCGACAGAGAAATACAACCTAGCATCTCTGGACAACCTGTTCTCTCACCTGACGAACACCAGCATCAACAAATTCGGTCCATTTTACACCACAGATAAAGAGCGGGTAGGTCAGGGGTGTAAGTGGACATTGAGCAAATTCCGCAGTTTCCTTCACAGCCAAGGCATCAACGAACTTCTGCTCTGGCAAAAGATCAACAACATAGTGACGCTGACCCTGCTCACGATGGCTCCTTCATTCCGTCCAGCCCCAACTGCCTGGAGCTGTTTGGCTTTGATATCCTCATCGATTCCAACTTAAAGCCTTGGCTGTTAGAGGTCAATTATAGCCCTGCACTTTCTCTGGACTGTCCTGCTGATATAGTGGTCAAAAAAGGAGTGATAAATGATCTCATCGACTTGATGAATTACAGGAAGGTAGATGGTCTAAGACAGCAAGAATATCTCAGACGAAGACACAAACGAACTTGCTGTCTAGGTAGCCCGTCTTCACTAAGAAAAAGCCCTGCACCATTTCTGATACCAAAGTCTGTGTCTGGAAAGAAGAGGCAAAGGCAGTCCAGCTTAAATTCTCTGAATGGAGAAAATCTTGAGTGTCCATCAGTGGAGAGAAGCGTTAATTCACAAGGCTCTGCTCTTCATCCAGCCTGTCAGAATTCAAAGGCCGTCATTGTTAGTGGAAACAAAACAAAGAGTCCTCTACAAGTGGAGGGCCCCACCTGCTGGTCTGAACTTGAAGAGTCACTTGAAAACCACAGGCATATAACTAGGCGCTCCTTATCAAATGCATGCAGGTTACCTGCCATTCATGACCCCAAGTACAAGCCCCCAAGGTTCTCATGGGACCAGAGAACTCATGAAATGACCACACCATCCCTTCGCGTGGGAGATTTCATACTGACGTTTCCTTTCAACGAGGTCACTTGGAAAGCCTCACAGGATGCACTGGATGTAAAGACTGTATTGCACGAAGTACATCAGCTCACGAGTCAGCTTACCTTCTCTTGTGTACACAGAGAGAAGAGAGGGAAGGAGAATAATGACAGCAGTACAGCCATAAAAGATAAATTCGCATCTCTCCTCTGGGGTCCTAGAAACCCCCCACTTCTGAGTGAATACTGCTCCTCAAACTGAATAGGCCTGGCCTTTCAAGTAAAATGCTTGAGGAAGGAAAATATTCCCAGTTGGATGTTGGATGACAGCTAGCATTTAACTTGATACATGCAGATATTGTATTTTAAAAAAATGTCTGGCAACTCACAGGAGAGTGAGAGCAAGTGTACAGCAGTGAACCCAGACAGTGAAAGTTATCTCGGTGACTTTGGCTGTAGTAACAAATGAGATGGCTGTAATCTGTTATTACAATAGCTCTGATTTTTAATGTTATATCACTGTGCTTACATTAAAAAAGTTTGGATACTATGGGCTTTTTCCAATTTTTGTAGCTTGCCTTCATGTACTGAATAAGCAACTCCACCCATACTTATAACATATAAGAAGACCAAGTACATTTCAGACTACAGGCAAATCCCATTTCTTATTTTTACCTCTACCCCTTGTTTTTGAGTGTCATCTTGCCCCTTGGAACTGAGTTACAAAGGGTAGTGGTTGAAATCTTCCCCTATGAAATGGGACCCTCAAATACAAAAGAACACTTACTTCATTAACAGCTACTAGTGGTGCTCTGTAGGCGACCCTGCCAGTCTGCAGTGATAGCAGAGGAGGGTAAAGTTCAGCTCCTCACTGCTGGGCTTTAGTTACATTTAGGGCATCATATGCCTGGAAAGGTGTGGGGGGTGCAATTATTTGTTATCGCCCACCCCTAATTCTTCGGTGATATGAAGCTGAAGGCAGCTAATCGCCAGCTTCATGTTTGAATTTTCCCGTTCCACCTTACGTGGGTGCCAGAATGTAACTGCTGCACCTTTTAAAGTGGGAATGGGTAAATTAGCTACCAAGACATTAGCATACTACTATTACTATATATGATTTTTATGCTTGTTATGAAGAAAAGGACCATGATACATTGAATCGACTTTAAACTAAGAATAATAATTGTGCAGCCATTTTGCCGGTTTTTCTTTTTTTCTCATAACACTCCATCTGAAGAGTCCAATGCTTTTAAAAGCTCCCTTACATGAAATGGTTATGAATACACTGCCTGATGTCTGAGAGATTGTTTTATAATAGTTTTGTGATAAAGCTTTGGCCTAAAATGTATTTTTTATGCACCTTTGTGAAGAAACGGCACATACAAGCAAAGTATATATTTATATATATATATATTAAAAATAGCACCCAAAAAACTTATTCAGATTTCACTAATTATCAACATTACACATAAAAATTCAGCAGATACATGTAGGTTCACTACACTGGTTTTGGATAGTAAATTGCTATATTTGTGTTGTAGACATTGCCACCCCTATCAGCACCACTGTAAAGAAGGTTAGGTTCTCTACAATCATCTATTTCACATCAAACCAGTCTGACCTCAACAAATGAATTACACAGAAATTGTGAAAAATCAATGGAATTCTCCTGTAATCTCCTTGATTTCAGAAGAAACCATGTTTATATACTTTTCGAAGCATTTCAGTCTGCTAAAATCTGAACATTGTAAGGTCACAAAGTGCCTTCACCTGCATGCAGCATCAGTCTTTTTGGTGCGCAGAGGAAGAGATGCCATGTGACAGAATCAAAAATAATAGGCTATTTGGGGCAACATAAAATTCTCACCAATGCCAACCGTAAAGAGAAACAGGCTTAGTTTATACTGACAAGTACAATTTATTTATCCTTTGAGTTCAAAGAGAGGACAAGGTGCTATATTTCAAGATCACACCATGTCAAAAGATATTTTTAGCAGTCTTAAAAAACAGAGCTGGGGACTCTGAAACAATGTAAGCACTTCTTTATTCTGATTAAACACACACTGCAAACCACGTTTAATAAAATGTACAGTTCCTGCATATTCCGACTGTATTTCCAGCTTTGGTACTTCAATTTTTGTCTGTTATAATGACGACTTCATGGTTCTTAAGACAAACTCTTCCAGATGAGTATTTCGTCTCTTGCCTCCCATTTAAAAAAACAGTCTTAACAGTGCCGTCAGGGTACACCCTCTGCTTGTACTGGGGGGTGTGGATCTCTCGTTGGCCGTTGGGAAACTCCACTGTTTTCTCCCCGTTTCTGTACAGAGAACGCAACAAAATAATGCATCACAAAATTGGTTTGTCTCACTTTACACCACAGAGAAATCAAATAAGCACTACAAAATCAGCATTTGTCTTCAAAAGCATTACTTCGACAATTTGACAACAGTTCCATCTCGGAATACGCTTTCCTGCCGCCCATCAGGGTACAGGTTCTTCACAGTCCCATCTGGGAAAAATATCTCCCTCCTACCATCAGGATAATGCTTCTCTAAAGAAAGACAAGACATTTCAAAACGCTTCCATCCTCAAACATGTGGACTAATTAAAATAAATCAACACAACAGGCTGTATAGAGCGTTGTTTAACCTTTCTGGTTGTTTGGAAACTGCAAAATCTCCAAACCAGAGGGGTAAGTGGAGTGAGTTGTTTGAGCATCAGAGTAAAAATACACCTAAAAAGGCAAAATAACTGAATCAGCACTCAATCTATATAAGGAGAAAACAGTCATACAGTTGAAGATCCAGACAGGACGTCACTGGAGTGTTGTCATGTGTTGCGATTGGTTTATTAATTGTTAAAATAGTCAAGGGCTAAATGAGGAGTTCATGCTGAAATGCTTATTCAAAGACTCTCTTAATGTACAAAAACACAAGACCAATTTGGAATCAGTGTTTTCAGTAATGTAAGACCCTTTTTTGATGGAATACATACATAAACTGATTCTAATCTGATGTCAGTGCTGTGCAGCTTCATATGCTTAAACATATTTGTAGTAATTGAAATGTTTGACAGTTTTTTATATAAAATAGCAGAGAAGGCTGCGTAACATAATAATGTAACAAAATCAATATCCAGAATGCCCCACATATGCAACACAGTTGTCAAGTGTTTGTTTTTACACTTCATTTACCTTACAGGTGCACTTTGTAGTTCAAAATTACAATTACAGTAACTGTACAGTAAAATTACAAGTACAATTACAGACTGTAGTCCATCTGTTTCTCTGCATACTTTGTTAGCCCCCTTTTACCCTGTTCTTCAATGGTTAGCACCCACAGGACCACCACAGAGCAGGTCTTATTTGGGTGGTGAATCATTCTCAGCACTGCAGTGACACTGACGTGGTGGTGGTGGTGTGTTAGTGTGTGTTGTGCTAGTGGAAGTGGATCAGACACAGTAGTGCTGCTGAAGTTTTTAAACACCTCAGAGTCACTGCTGGACTGAGAAACGTCCACCAAGCTAACAGTGTGCTGTGACAACTGATGAAAAACTAGAAGATGACTAACAGAGTGAACAGTGAGGGGACACAGGTTTAAAAACTCCAGCAGCACTGCCGAGTCTGATCCACTCGTACCAGCACAACACACACTAACACACCACCACTACGTCAGTGTCACTGCAGTGCTGAGAATGATCCATCACCCAAATAATACCTGCTCTGTGGGTGTCCTGACCACTGAAGAACAGTGTAAAAGGGGGCTGATAAAGTATGCAGAGAAACGGATGGACCACAGGCTGTAATTGTAGAACTTCTACGTGCAGCGGTGTGGTAAGACTGTGTGGTTTACTTTGTTTATATCTACATTGTGTAAGTCATTTAATAAAATAGCAAATGCAATCAACATTACAAGTTACGCCTCTGAATTCCAGGTTAATCTGTGGCATTGACAAAATTATTATAGCGCAACCACTTCCTCTTACGTATTTAAGTAACTGTCAGAGTAAAACAGGTTCTGTAAAATAAGCACTAGAGGGGAACTACATTAGCTGCGTCATGACATTAACACAAACTTATTGCGCATTTCGCAATTCTGGACATGCTGTCAAGGTTCTTGATAGTATTTCACCACCTGTTGTCTGGAGAAGCAAAATCACTTTAGACAGGTTCTGGTTTACAAAGCAAGACCATTCTAGCTGAGTAGCCAGTAGTGGTGTTCCAAAAAAAAAATTGGTCAGTTTTATTGCAAATATTTATTATGTTTTCACAAGAATTTCCACACAATTTACAAGAATGTTTCCAAAATCCGGTAAATCCAATATCTCATGCTATATATTTTGCAAAGGGCTCGTGTGGCTGCTGGCTTTCATTCTAAGCAAGCAGGAGCACAACTGATTCTCCTTGTTTAACCTCCTTCTGCTGGCCCCAAGCAGCCCTTCCACCAGCAGAATGGAAATCCACTATTTTTAATAAATGTGATAAAATTTTTTTTAATTTTCCCCCTGTAAAGCCCTATTCAGGCTGGATTAGTTTTACATGAGGAGATGGGTAATGTAATTATTACCAGCATTCCTGTCTGAATGCACCATGTCAGTCAATTTTACCGACTGGGCGCTCCCGTGTCAGTAAAGATTCTGTCGCCTTTATCTTCAATAAACTGAGCCCTAGAAATGACCTCAGGTTATATTAATCCCATGCATATCAATATGTCGGTAAAACACTATCATATCCTCTGAAAAAGCAGTTGCCTAAGTACAGAGATGCTCGGAAAAGCATTTACTCATGTTCTCTGATGAAGCTGAAGTCGGCTTCTTGTTCGCCAGCTTCTTGTCCAGACTTCCCTGTTCCAACTCAAATGATGCAGCAGTTACTATTATAATGCCGGACGCGCCAGAATGTAACTGCTGCATCATTTAAGGTGGAATGGGAAAATCTGAACAAAATAGGAATTCCTCTCGAATAGGAAGCCAGCTTCAGCCTCATTGTTCTCTGTGGCTAAAATTAAGCTGATATGTAATGTCACTGTCCTCTCTCATGTGTACAACTCAGGACATGTAAATTGTTGATGTTGATTTTATGTGGTGAAGTTGAAAGTTTGCTATGCATTTCCAAGCTAATGGCGATGCTAACGACACACTGCATTCACTTTAGACAGAAAGGTAACTGATAAACAAAATAACGGCTAAATTAAATGTTTTAACATCTTTTCTACTCTTTTCTGGAGTGAAGGCGGTGTGTAAATCGAGAAGCCACTTCTATCCCAAATAATGATAAAGGTTTCTGAACATATCATGCATATTGTCAGTACTTGTGGAACACTGACCGACTACATGTTTCATTACAAAGAGAGCAAATTGAGTTTCAGTGCAATACAGTATGCCAAATAGTGAATAGAAATCATTGTGTTTATGTAACATTACTGGTTCTTTTTTCTCTATTCTGACTGATCAGATGTCTGAAAAAATAAATATTGTGACATTGTGTATTCTGAGAACGTCTTGATGTATCGTGATAGCTGTCCTATCCAGC